AGGAGAGCACATATTTCACCTTCTGAATGAATTTATCAAAGAGAATGGCATCAACTGGATAAAATGTGTCGGAGTTTGTACAGACGGTGCTAGAACGTTGACAAGCCTAAACAGTGGTGTAGTTGCACGAATTAGAGAGGTTGCTCCAGATATGAACTGCAGCATCCACCGCGAGGCCTTGGCCGTCAAGAAAATGCCTGATGATTTAAAATCTGTTAGACTCTGTTGTGAATTGTATCAAGGCTCGACCAATTAATTCACATCTGCTTTGCTCGACTAAACAGGCTCACCCCTCTCACTGAAATGGTGCTTTTTTATTGTTTATTTTTAATTGTTGTTATTGTTCTTTTTGTCATTCTGTAAAGCACTTTGAGAAGACACTTTTAAAGGCTCTATATCGAATAAAATTTATTATAACATTTATTATATATGTACGTGAGTGTGCGCGTGCACGCACACTCATGTTGGCCATTGAGATTTTCTGGGGTTCCTATGAGAAGATGACTTGTAGGTGGTACTTGGATGCTTTGGTTTGATCAGGGGTGGTACTTGAAGCAAAAAGGTAGAGAACTACTGTCCTACACAAAAGACTGCCTTTGACAACATGAAAAGCAGATACAGTATGTGGGTTGCTTGATGAGTAAAAGAAAAAAAAATCATCCTTCTCCTAAGTTATGTTCTTGTACCTTCAATGGAGAAAAAGTTGACAATTAAAGACAGATTGACACCAAGGTAGGACATTTACAATGAACTTTAAAAGCTCATGTTGTGTATTAATTATTTTGATGCACTCATTTCATTAGTCTACTATTATTCCACCCCAAGAAGCTGAAATCCCCCCCAAAAATTCCCCCTTTACATGAAGCTCAATCCCCCCATGAGCTTCATGTAAAGGGGGAATTTCCCCTCATTTTCAAAAATGAATGTCAAACCCTGCCGAGAAGGTGTATAAAAACATAATTGACAATTCAGAATTTCTAATAATTAAAAACATTTACTATGCGGTCTTTGAGGGGATTGTAATAACACCTGACCTGCCACTAGAGGGCATCCAAAGGCCTCTATAATTTATAAACAGACACAATGGTAGATAATTAGTTAATTTGATTATTAAAAGTGTATTGGTAATGTATAATTCCACATTCTCACATACTGTAAGGTTAATTAGCAAAGTATTTAGATATGTAAACAGTTTTCACGGTGTTTATGGTGGTTGTTTTAGATTTTATGGTGATTGAGTTTAGTAAGGCTGCTTTTAACTCTGGCTGGTGTAAAGACTTGTATGATAACTGAAGTTAAACCTCTTGCACTGTACAGCTGCTCCTATTGTGAGTGTTCATGGAGATACCTTGTTTAAGGATGAGATGTGTCACATACTCATACACACATTTCTATTATGTGTCACATACTCATACAGAATTCCAGTTTTTACTTTGTAGTGCTTATTAAGAATTTCTTAAATATAAAGAATCTGTTCTTTAGTTCAGTGCCTTTATTTCACATTTTTAAATATACAGAAGGACACCTGTAGATACAGATATAAGTGTTGATAGCCTATATTCATAAATATTTAACAATTAACTATAATATTTTAGTATAAATTTGGCATTTTGTATTTAATATTTTCTATTCCAAAGGATAACAGAGGACTTTACTGTATATGCTATATATTGTAAGTAGGGGGCCTGCTTTATCTTCTAAATCCTAAGTATGCTTTTGTTTTGTTTTTTTTCTATTTTATTTATTTTCAAATCATCAGGGGAAAAAAACATTTCCTTGCCATTTTTTCTTGCCTTGTGATGTTGATTCATATATGTATACTGTATTTATAGGTTGATTTACAGGTTGAGTCATTCATATACTGCAGTGCAAAAGCCTTATCTTAGTCAGGAGTTATGTATGAAATTGGATTCAACAAATAGGATTTACCCAAAGCGTCCACTAGTGCCCATATCATATACAGTATATCATATCGTATATACAGTGTACTATTATATTGATTATTATTAATTCATCTTAGTTTGGACATGAAGAACCAAGATCATAATTTTGTTATTTTTGACCCACGTTGTTCAGGATCCTCAGTAACATAATACTGAATTGTTTCTGCAAAGTGTTTATGACTTTTCCACAGCAGTTTGTATATGCTGAGCTCTACGATATGTGCAAAAATACCAAAGAAGTATAAACATTTTTCATTTACATTTCATGATAACTTAATTAACTGTACCTCTTTAATAGCTGACCTTATGAGACATGAAGAATAGTTGGCCTATTGTTGGCCTCTTCAGTGTTACTCTTATCACTAAGAAAACTCTATTTCTAAGCTTTTAACCTTGAGATGTGCCACGGCCATTCACAATAACCTTTGAGTATTTTTTCTAATAATGCAGTCACTGTGATGGATGGAGCCTGTTCCAATTAATTTGTTCATACTGTCCCTCTTACTACTAACCATCACTTGATAACCAACATTGATCTTACATTGTTACCTCACTTTCCTTAATATTGATTTTTTGTCCATGCATTTATTGGAAATTGGCTTCCTGGCAAATTGGAGGCCAAACATTGTACAGTAGGTGCTATTAATCATGCTTTGCCACAAATGCCTTTTTTAAGGTTTTGAGCCAGATTTGGCTTCACCGGAGTATTTTGGTAACTTTGACCAGTCTTTCCTGTTCCCTCAATATAACAAGGACACTATATATAAATATATTGTTTTAAATGTCTGTTTGCATTTTTCAGTTAGTTCACTACTCCATTGTTTCACTAGGTATGCTAGAGTGGTCATTGGCTTGGCTATCTGTCACATTACCTGTTTAATCTCATCTATGCAAAATGTCTAGAATGTTGTACAACTAAGCTTAATAACATCAGTGGCAGAAATTGAAGATTGTAGGATCTGTGCAAAAAATGTTATGCTCCCCTCCCCTCACATAACAAACACTATAACCACTATAATAAAAAAGTCTGCTTATTTGAAAATCATCCTCCCTACCTATAGCTCTGCAAGAAATACATAAAGTACAATCCCTTTGTGCAACAATTTAATATGATACTGTATACCACTTTACTTACAAAATATTTTCAGATAATGTCCTCTGTTAGTCAGATAAATATCACCCAACTGCAGTAACTACCCATTAAGTTGTTGGAGATCACTGGTGTGGTGATTTCTACATACTGTAATTACTCTGTGTTCCAATTTTTCCTCCTCAGTCTCCACAGGAGTGCTATCCGGAAGTTGCTAGCAGGGAGTGAACTAGAGTTAAAGTGGGTTTCAACCTCTTTGGCAGCCTGTAAAGAAAATGTCTATTTTAGTCAACGTGCCTGCTGCCTTAAACTGTTCTCTTTTGATTTTGTTCTTTTGTGGCATAGGTAACATTTTGTCCTTCCTGTCTTTTTCCCATAAATATATTTTAATTAGCATATTAAATACCACATCTACCTCAGATTCTATTAAAAAAAAAACTTTGTCATAAACAAATGACAAGAAACTAATAAGTTAACTCTAGTGATAGAATCTATACAAGTGATTCACTAAAAGTACAATATATTAAAATAACTTAATAATGTTGCAATAGTTCAGGTGGGTAGCTGCATAAGCATGCGTAGGCTGCAAAGGAACAAGTAATAGGTTTATTCCATGCTGAAAAGAGAAGAGAGAAAACACAACGTTTTGGCTGTGAAGCTTTCTTCAGGTGTGAAGAAGGCCTGAAGAACGCTTCACAGACGAAACAAAATGTTACAATATTTTGCTCACTATGTGTTGTACTGCACATTAAAAGTGTGTGTGTGTGGGGGGGCACACTTCGCTATATTATATATAGTACTGAAACGGATGTTCAAGTTGCTATAAACCTCCTCATGGCAACTGATTCAGTTACACTTTCAGTCTTAGTTATTTTAGATCTTAGGGCTACATTCAATAGTGTAAATTGAATTGTTTTTGGTTAGAGTAGCAGTAGTAGCAGTAATTTATCTATTTTGTGGTACTGCCCCCTAAATAGCTTAAATCTTAGTTAGGCATTGAACATCAGAGGTTCATTCATATACTGGGTTCGTTACATTTGGTTTTACTCAGGGATCGACACTGCACTCTCTGTTTAGTATTTAAGTTTCCTCTTGGTCAATTGCTAAAATTACATGGTCTAAATTAGTATTTCTATAAAGATGATACTCTCATTTCCACACTAAGCTTGTAACCAAAGTAATCGTGTCATTACTCTGAATTTTTTACATGAAATCTTAAATAACAAAAAGTGATTAGTATGCGAATTATGATAAAACCAAGGACATATGATTAGGTACATAAAACCAATTTTGTAAATAGAGGATGGTGCTGAACTTTGACCCAAAATGAAAAATATAGTGGGGCAAGAGTGAGCTTTGATCTTGGATTTGGAATTTTGTGTACAGAATATACTGTATATCCATCTTAGAAATATTGCCCATCTATAGTACATTCTTTTTAGTCTGTATCTGTAACAGAAAGAATGGTTCATGTGTCTGTTTTTCAAGGAATTAAAAAATAACAACTTCGATTACTAAAGAAATATGTACTGTATATATACAAATACTCAGGCAGATACATTGATACAGTACTTACAGTAATATGAATCTAATATAATATACAGGACATATATAATATATATATATGTATGCCCAGGAGAACAGAACAATATTTGATTTGTTTTCTATGTAATGGCAATGGTGAACAGAAGTTGAAACATGATTGCCTTCTCTTGTACTGTGGGATTAATATATTCTGAGTTTATATGAATTTGGGTATTATTAAGATTGTTATGATTTGGGTCTATGAAACCATAACATATATTCAATGTAAATCCTGATTAGTGAAAAAACTGTTCTTAGATTAACCGGAAAATGAATGGGACCCCTGTATGTGAATAATTTTAATGTACGCCTGTACATAGGAATAATTAATGAATAATAATACAACAAAAACCACTTATTTTTTACCATTCTTTTTTTCCCAGATGGATCTTTATTGCCATTTGACATTTCGTTTAAAAGGATTCAAGATGAGACTTCAGGAAGAACAGAAGACTTACACACTGCCTTATCACCTGAAACCCAAGGAAACAGTTTCCATCTGAGACCAGTGCTAACTACTGCAGGTGCTACTTTAGAAACCCTGTCTGAAGCTACAGGACAAAATGGCAATACTACTGAGAAAACATTCTTCACAGGATGGAGTGTCTTGCCTTCACAAGGCTCCAAGCCACCTACTTTCAGGGGCTCCTCTCTTGCTTTAGAAGAAAGCAATTCCATTCCCCCCCAGCAACCTGCAAAACCTGCTGAATGGTCTCAAGTATTTCATAATCCAGATATGACCATTACACCAGTCAGGCAGACCAGGAATCTTAAACAACCTTTATCTTCACTTTTCACATCTGCATCTTTGGCTACATCTGGCTCTCTGCAGCTACTAGGTCCAAATACTAAGGCTTGGAGTTCCCGGAGCACATTGCCCTTTGTTTCAGACACTGTTACACCATCGGATCATCAGTCTCCACTGCCACAATCAAATGTGTCAGCAGCTCCATTGCACACCTCACTTCTGCAACATATCACCTCCTCAGCCACATTGCCGCAGTTCACTGTTCCAAACCCTTTATTGAGGACTTCAGATGATCCTATACCATCATTTAAACCTAACAGCCAGCAAAACACGTCTGTGTTTACAGTACAAGGTATTTTCCCATCAGTTCCTGCAGCACATGCTGAATCCACAGTTGAAGTCATTACTCCAGCAAGAGAAGCTCAGAATGAAGAAGTTAGCTCTGCTTCTAGTTTTACTGATAAAAAAATGACACAAAAAGTAGATGATACATTTAGTCCCAGTCTTCCTGTAAAAACTTTCAGCAGAGATGAAGATTTTCACAGTATTTTGTCAAGTATTAAGCCACAGCTCAATAATGCTACACAAGGTATTCATTTACTTTTGAAAACCCCAAGCAGCTCAGATCCTGAAATGCTTTCTCCAAGTTTTGTGCCTTTTCTCAGACCTCATGCTATGCTAGTAACAACAGAGTTGACATTAGTTCCATCAGAGGAATACTTTCCCACTGGGACAATAGAAACAGATTTTGGGTCTGGGGACTATCTTGAGACAATATCTTTCATGGGATCAGAAGTGGATGATTTGTCACTTGTCACCAATCTACCTACTGACATGTATGATGTAGATGAATCTGTTTCTGAGAGGTACGACACCTCTTTCCCCTCAAGACAGGTGTTACCATTGTCTTCAATGCACATTGTGACTACTAGTTCTAATTCAGGTTTTCCCACCGTTGATAATGCTGGTCTAGGAACCATTCACCCCACTTCAGTTTTTTCCTCCCATGGCCAGACAGTGGTGGATTCTTTTGCTCCTTCACAGAATTTTTCATTTGATAAAATGTTAGATTCAGATTGGGTTGACTCTTTTACAGTTGAGCCAACTGAACTTCTGCTCCCTGATATGAACAGTTTAGAATATTATTCTATTCTACTGGCCATGGAGAATGCACTTAAAAAGAAAAATAACCAGACTTCTGGAGAGCATATTAATTTTGCATCTGTAGAAGTACCCAATATCACACCAACCAGCTTGTTAACTCTAGACCACAGTCATCTTTTAAAAACTGCTATTCAGTCTAATGAGACATTGTCTTTACTTTATAACAGTAACTCTCTGAATGCTAATATTACAGCTTTACAACCAAGTAACACTATGATTTTTATGAACTCTACAATATCTGATTCAACTAGAGTTCTAATGACAGAGACACCAAGCCTTAACATGTCATTATTTGAGTCTCTGGAGACTTCAAGCTATGTTTCATCTTTATTATTTTTGCCAAAGACTGATGTCTTTGATGGAACACCAGCATCAGTTAATCTGTTGAACAGCTCAGAATATGTTTTGGAGCCTTCAGTGACACAAACCCCTTCAATTGCCTTCTCAAACACCCTTTTGGAAACCTTGGCTCCCTTTGTTCTGATGGACCTGTCACCATCATTGAATGAAACAGCTCTACTAGTGGCAACAGTGCCAGCTTCTGGGCCAAGTACTGCAGGCAGTTCATTACACAAAGAGCTTGACTTAATTTCATCCTTTATTTCTGTTCAGCCCACCACTATGCTGCCAGATGAACTTTTTAGTTTGAGCTTAGGGGATGTCCATTCACTTTATGCAACAACTGTTCAATGGTTTGCCTCATTATCTTATACAGCTACAGCTACTGTTTCTCTCCAGGCGACCCAAGTGTCAGCCATCTCTGAGTTAATTTCCCCCACTTCAGTTGATCTCAGTCGTGGAGTCAGTTCTCTCGCCACTGTGATACCCATGGCAAATTACAACACTACCACAAACGATCTTACTACAAACCATCCAGTAACCACAATGTTTGTTAATGGTATGATGTCAACTGGAAAATCGGCTACAGCTTCAGCAACAAATACATATAATATCAAGAACACTACACCCTTTACTCCTGCTACTTTAACACCAAGTCCTGAGTCAGCATCATTTACAACACCCAGAGTAATGTCAACTTCTAAAACCCCGCAATCAACAGCCACCCGGCACTACCTCTGTAACATCACCAAGATGGACACGTATTTAGTTCGAACAGGTAAGGAGTACTATCATTTTACTGAGGAATTGAACAGAGACAAAAAAATTAAGAGTTTATTTCTTCTGAATGTTATTTAATCAAGTGGAAGATAGGAAGAAAATTCTCAGCAATATTTTTAGAATACAGTTCCTTGTAAACATATTCAGACCTTTTGTGTCCATTTTTAAATATTAAAATCTGAATGGTCAAGATGAAGACTTAAGGGTAAAATAGGTTATAGTAAATGTCACCAAAAACTGAAGAGAAAAAAATTAATACATTGACTGTATAAGTATTCAGATCCCACGAACTCAATATTTGGTGGAAGCACCTTTGGTCTTTGATAGCAGTTACAGCTGCAGATCTTTTTGGGTAAGTCTCTACCAATCAAGGACATTACTTTCTGATTCTTAAATTCATCCATTGTCCAGCTAAAAGGTGAATTTTGTTCCAGTTTTAGCTTTGGTTCAGGTATTATCTCTAAGAGTCGCCAGTACTTTGCTCAATCTACAGTATGTTCCCATCAGTTTTAATAAGCTTCCCAGTGTGCTTTGATTTGGACTATAACATATCCCTGCCATGAGGACCCCAACCAGGGTCCTCCTTGTCTGGTTGCTCAGTTTGTAGGGACAGCATGATAAAGGTAGTGTCCATGTACAGTACTTTCCTCTTTTTAATGATCAACTTCACCATGCTTAAGAAGATATTAATGGTATTAATATTTTATACCCTTTTTTATACCCTTCTCCTGATCTGTGCCTTTATACAACATTATCCTTGAATTGTTTAAAAAAATAGTATTAGGTATTCATGGTTGAATATTTGCTTGAAATTCACTACCTTGCAGACCTTACAGATAAAGGAATATTTATTTCTGAAATCATGTAAGCCACTGTTATGACACACAGACAGGGACCACTCCTCTGTTTATGTAGCTTGCTAAGGTAATTTTGTACTCCTAAATTAATTTAGTTCAGGTGGGTAGCTGCATCAGCATGCGTATGCTGCAAAGAAACAAGTAAGGACACCGAAAGAAGGCTCCACAGCCAAATCGTTGTGTTTCTTTTCTTCTCTTTTCATCGTGGAATAAACCTATTACTTGTTCCTTAATTAATTTAGGTTTGCCATAGTACAGGATATGACTACTTACAAAGTCATGACTTTAACATTTTTAATATTATCTACTGTATTTACTTTCACTTTGAATGTATGGAGTAGGTTGTGTATATAACAGATATTCAGAGAATGCTTCAAAGTGTGCAAGAATCTGAATACTTTTGCAAAGCACCTACTGTATATTTTGAACAACATATAAAGTGTTTCCTATATTATTCTGCAGTTTAAACATATCTATTGTTATATCTACGCTGTGAGTTTAAAAAATATCTTAATATTGATTGCTTTGTGTTTGAAAACTGCAGGCCTGGCCACGACCACAACACTGGGATATGCAAAAGCATACATCAGAGAGATTTTGAAAACTGAATTCAACCGTTCTGTTGAACTGCAGGTACACACTGGACAGTTTTATTATAATGAGTTTAAAGAAAGTTACAGTACCTGGTCTATGAATGCATCAAGAACATTAGAACAGCTTGATTTAAATAAGCTTTTATTTTTTTGTTAGTTGACAGTTTATGCTGAAAGTAATGCATTATGTTAATACAGTAGGTTTTGGGTAGGCTGGTAGCATAGCACTGATGCCTTACAGGTGTAAAGTCTTAGGTTTGATTCCAGACTGGGGTGACTTCAGGGAGTTTGTGTGTGTTTGCATAGGTTTTCCTCAGTTGTTTTAGATACCCTTCCTCCACTCAGAAACAGATAGGAAAGTTTAATTGGCTTGTATAAATTGTCCTTGTGTACTGCAATGTGAGATATCAAGTTTGCATGGCATGCCAGGAAATGTATCCATTGCGGGATGCGAGAAGACAGTATGACTAAGATTTGCAAAATATTTATTTTTAATTGATGGCTTGTACCAAGAGATATCTGATATACTTTGTAAATACAAAATACAAAATACAAAATGTTAAGGTACGGTAATGTTTTTTTATTCATTGTTTTTTTAGCAATTTAGATTAAGGCCTGACTATAGACAGTAGTGTTATTTATTAACCACAATGCTATTAATGGCACCTTAGATGAAGGGGTCAATGAAACAAATGAGATTAAATTGATATCATGATTACAGCACAGCTTTGTGGAGACTAATCTTTGAATTGCAGTTTAACTGCTCGGTTCTTTTAAAGGAGAAAGCTTTTTTGCAAATTGTACAGAATAATAAGTGTAAGGGCTGGTGCATAGAAGGGTACTTTAAAGTTAAATGGTGTTTGCAGTGCAAATGGTTATAGCAAGATGTGTAAAATAATTAATTTAGATTTATAGTAAACTAATGTTAATGTTAAGTGTATATTCTAGTGTAGATGCTTTTTTACCATGGTCTACCTAAAGTTTGGAAGGACTCTTGTGCTTTGTGTGATCTGCTGGGCATTTTTCTTTTTCTGAATTTTCTTTCTTTTGCTTTTCTTTTTGCCTTGCTCAGTGAAATTAATCTACAGTGTGGTGAAAAAGTAAGTATGCCCCTTTAAGATTTTATGTCATAACATATTTAGGCATACTGTATGTGACCTTCACCAAGTCCTACCAAATCTTAATAGTAGATAGAACTAACCTCATTCGACAAATAACACACACACACAAATTCTGTTGTCATTATTTATTTAAAAAATACGCCAGCATGTTTTATCACTTTGTGTTAAAATTTAAGTGCACCCTACCATTTCAATGAAGAGGTTATGTTAGAATGAGGAGCATAAAAATAAGATCAAATGATTAATGGATCATCTGAAAGTGATTCCACCTACTGTATCCACAGTATACAATCAGAAGTCAATCTTAGTTTTTTGGTAATGTCATGCCCAGATTAAAAGAAATCTGTTACAGTTTTAGATAAAGAATTGTTGCTGTTTATCAATCTGGGCAGGAATACAAAGTGATTTACAAACAATATTAAGTCCACATGGTAAACTGCAAATGGAGAAAATTCAACACTGTTGCCAGTCTACCAGTAGTGTTCAGCATGCCTAATTTTCTCCAAGATCTGACCATGTAATGAACCTAGACGTCTCAAAGAACTCTAAGGTTTCTTCATGGGACCTACAGGCCTCTCTTGCTATGGTAAATGTCAAAGATCATAAGTCCATTAGGAATTCCAAGTCAGAAGTCCAGTCAGAAAAAGACTGAATACGAATGACTTGCATGGAAGGCTAGCAAAGAGGAAACCCCTGCAATCCAAGAGAAACCTTGCTGCATGGCTTAAGTTTGCAAAACAGCACTTGAATGAAAAACAATACTCCTGGAACAATGTGCTCTGGACAGATGAGTTAAAAGTAAAGTTGTCTGGTGGTAATGCAATTAACCATGTTTGGTGAAAACCAAACACTGCCTTTGACCAAAAGTACCCCATTCAGGTTATTGCTGCTAAAGTGAGTGCTACAGGATACTGAATCTGCACTGGGTACAGTTACTTATTCACACAAAGATATTGAATGCTGGCTAATTTATTAAATAATGACAACGTATATTTTTGTGTGTTATTTGTCAAATAAGGTTAGTTGTATCTACAATTAGGACATGATGAGAGCTAGGTGAAGATCAGATATGTATAAATATGTTAAACCATAAGATCTAAGGGGGATATACTTTTTCACCTAACTTTATATTTTGTGCTTACTTATATGTTCTTTGATTCATGACCTGTACTCTATTATGTGCTTTTTAAAAATATTTGAATTTCATATACTGTACTGACACAAGTTGTGAAATGTGAAAGTATTAAATGGTGTTTAGTTAAACTCCCTGGCTGAACACATAATTGTTCCTAAATTGTTTTTTAGCACCCCTCAATCTGCCCCCACTTGACCATTGCAGTATTTCCTCCCTGGTTTATCTTTTATAACTGATGGGGGGACATCATGGTGACAGCACTGATCTCTAACAGGCACATTATTTCCTCGGCCAGACAAGTTGACGCCAAAGCATGCTACCCTTTCATATTTGTCACCTTGTTTTGTCATAGAATTTGACCAAACTACTGAACTGATTAATAATTCATTATAATCTAGATTAAATTAGACCACTTATTATCTGAGATCTGGTAAAATAAGGGTGTAAGGTTTTAATAAGAGAGAGAGATCATTTTATTAGCCATATACAATTTCTTGCATTAGGAATGTGTCTTTTTCACATACCCCAGCTTGCTCTCCATGAGACACACTGGCGGGAAGAGAGAAGGTTGGTGTCAGAGTGCAGGGTCAGCCATTTATACAGCACCCCTGGAGCAGGTGGGGTTAAGGGCCTTGCACAGGAGCCTAATAGAGTAGGATTCCTCTGGCAGCTGTGGGATTTGAACCAGCAACCTTCCAGTCACAGTGCCACCGCTCTGCCCCTTTATACTGCTTCCAATTAAAGTCAGTTATTGATAATGATAAGTATAAATATGTACATACAGTACATTCATTAGTTTTTTCTATTTTTTACTTTTAAAATGAAAAAAATGGCTTTGGTATGAGTATGTGTGTCTGTGTACCTGTGTCCCATTCAGGGTGTATCCCACATTGCACCTGTTGCAATTACTTTATATGGATAAGCATTTGACTTAATTTACTAAAAGTTTGTGAATTTAAGTGGAAAATATGATCTGATTAAAAGTTTTTATTTTTCTTTGATAAGAGAATAAACCTGATCCATGGATCGTATCTTGATATTTTTGAATATGTTTGGTTTTCCGGAAATTCTTGGAAAACAAGGATTTCATGGAGTGACTATAAACTAATCAAAACAACTGAAATTTTAATATTGCAATTTGGTATGCAGAACAGGTCAGATTAGCATGTCTGTGTGAAACACTGCATAATAACTTCTGAAATTCAGTAAACAAATGTTCTTGTCACTCACTCTTACCGAATGAGATGCACTGCAATCCATTAGCAGGTGCCCAGCTCATGGAAGCATTTCACATCACCAATCGTACTGGATATTAGATATTAAAATGAGAAGAACATATTTCGTATTAAAATTCATAAGATGTGTACACTACATTGCATTGCAAGGAATGAACTGGATTTATGAAGCCAGAAGAATGTCCTGATTTGGGGCACCTCACACACACATTCATACCAAGGAGCCAGAAGTGGGAGGAGAAGAGGTGCTACATGTACATATAAACTTCACACAGACAGTCACCCGGTAAAGAAATTAGTGCTTCTCTTTCGATTTGTTTCTCTCTAGCTGGCCTAGTGATCATTTTATTGACAGTTAGTTTCAGTTTGCATTACACCTCAAAATGGCATTATAAAGTGTGATTACAAACTGTTCCAAAACTGTATAGCTGGCTTTATAGTGTAAAGAGCTTTTGGTTTGTACTTCATCAACAATTATAAATGGGGAGCAACCCACCCTCAGTACTCCACGCCGTTCGGTGACATTACAACCATCAAAGCACAAGATATTGAACATTGACACTGAAACACAAAGTTCCTACTGATAGAACTACTTTTCAGCAGCTATTTATGTGAAATACCTGCATCTGACCATATAAAGCAAAATACCACAAACTCACAATAGGATAGAATTATTCATCTTCTGTGGGTATTGGATTCAGCCTTTCTTTATTGAAAGAAAAATACTATATTTTCTGTTTTCATTCAGATAAGGGTTTGTAGTATTGCAGCTACAAACAGTAGATTATACTGTGGTGAAAAAGCTATTGACTGTTAAATAACGGAGAAGTTGTAAATTTAGGGACTTGTCAGAGATATATACTGTAGCTCATCAGTCATGTAATACGAGTACAGTTTGGTGGTGTCAAAATTAAATCCTGGGCATGAAGTGTCAGGGTGAAACCAACAAAGAAAACTCAGTTCCTACTTGCAGTTCTAGAGAACTTGTTTTAAGCAAATAAGGCCTGTAAGCCACTCCTTTAACATTTTAATATACTGTACAATAAGTACTGAACAGTTGAAGGGGTTTTGTTGACTTGACAAAAAATCTAAACTGTGTAAGTTCTTTTTAGCCTTGTTGGATGCACAAGTATACAAAATATGGCTCTGATTCAAATAGAATGAAGTATCACATTAAATAACCTTCCTCATGTTAGGCAAAAAAAAGTAACCAAAGGTTTTAACACTCAATGTTTTTATATGCCTTCTGCAGAATATTTTTTTGAGTGAGATTAAATGCATGGTTTTCTTGTGGTATGATGGCATTTCCCTTTCTCATTTAAAGGTTCTGAAACCCCCTCCAGACTTCATCTTTCGGGTCGTGTCAGGTCCTGTTGTCTACACTGCAGTATCCGTTGTTAATGCCTTGCGCTCATTTGCAAAAAGTTCCTCTGCAATTCTGTCTGTTACTCCAGTAATGGGCGTTCCAGACCATCAGTTTCAGGTCCACTCAGGTAGGTGCATTTAAGCTTCCATTTAACTAAGACCTTATACAATAATTTAGACCTCATTGGTTTTTCTGAACAAAATGAATTTGGAAAAAATAAGCCAGTTGGCATTTTATTTTTTCACTTGTATTAAAACACAATAATTCTACAATTACTACTTCTCCACACCTGAAGAAGGCTCCACGGCCGAAACGTTGTGTTCTCTTTCTTCTTTTTTTTCAGCATGGAATAAACCTATTACTTGTTCCTTCATAATTCTACAATGTTCTGCTCACTAGTTATGTGTTACTTGAAAAGGATAAAAATCTTATAGTGCACTAGTGGTATTTAGAGACTAACTTGAGAAAAGCATCAGAATCTGCATCTGTTACTTTTACATTACATTTTGTATGCTGTATATTATTTGGGATTGCATTACAAATGCAAGTCACAGGACAGCTTATTGCTCTACAGAACTGTAAGATTTCAGGTTAGCAAAATACATGGTACAGTTTAGGAGAGAGGAAGTACAGTAGGTAATACATAAGAACTAGCTCAGATGAAGTAAATTGCAATGTTAAGTAAAATGTGTCACAAAATGTATTATTTGGATTGAAGAACATTATTAATGGATACCATGAGTTAATATAAACTGTATTCACATTCATTGAGGAAAGCTGGTGGAAAGTAAATTGTTTGAAAGTTATAAGATTGTTGTAAATGGTTTATTTGATAAGTTTGATATGACAAAGCTTTTATAGGTTATGAAGGTAATGCAGTGTGAAAAACTGCATGTTACATCCGTTTTTCCAAGTAACTACAAGAAGTTTGCATAAAATTTGGTCACAGGTTTAAAGCTGCCTTTAGGTGAGTAGGTAACATGTTGCAGTAAATTCTGTCAAATATTTTGACTAAAATGGTCACATACATCTGCAAAAAAACAAACAGTTCTTAAATAGGCTTCAGAGCTGCAGGTGAAAAAACTACTTGCAGCTGATTTTCTCCTGGTTTCTATAAGACTGAACTTCCCCAACAGTGTTCTTAAACCCTAAACACCACCTGTATCACCACCTGTAATTAATAAAGAATTCAAAATAGAATAACCTTTTTTAGCCACTTCTGTTGGTGCTGACAGCTCTGAACCTTCATTGTTCACATGGGTGTATTTTCATACTAGCATTACCTTCTTCGTAGTTCATTTAAGTGAAATGTCACATTAAATTATTGTATGTAATATTACAGTCCACACCAGATTGTGCGTAATCCACCAATTGTGTAATCTGCGGTTAGAAAATGGATAGGTGGATGGGTAGATGGATTTTTGTGTGGAATTAGAGGTGGGAAATGTACTCCCATTTGTGATAAGCTAGACGTGGGTTAACCAAAAATGTGTCATGTCTATCAGAGGAATTTGGAAACTCAGCGGTTTTATCTTTTTTCAGCTGTACCTTGCATTTAAAGATGATATCTACTACAATTAAATCCATGCTTGCTTTAAACATTTTGCATAAAGCTTTTCTATTGAATCTAAGGAACATTTTTGAATTATATTTTGGTGTGGTAGCTCTGAAATTCAGCCATACCTGAGGGTCTTCTATATTAGAAGTTTGATTGTGAGTTTCAAATGTACTGTCTTATTTTTCAAGCATATTAAGTGAAAAAAAAATATTTTCAGTCAAAATATGAAGATAATAATCTCATAATATTAAAATTAACTTGCAATTAGTTTGTCAATAGGTTTGTTAATGTAAACATAATTTATACATTATGATATATTGTAAACACTGCAAATGTAATTTGTATTTTCACAAACAGAAACACTATAGAAACACGTTACACTCTGGACTCCCATCTGATAATACTTCTAGCCTTTCCTCTTCACCAATAACCTACAACTTATGATTTATGATGGCTGATAAAATATATTCTTCTTAAATATTCTGTAGCAAATTTTGAATGCTGTCACATCAATTTATCATTTATAAATAGAATGTGAAGAAAGATTGGATGCCGAATGGTGTGTGGGCCACATGGTGCATTCAAGTCACGTTCTCTCAAGTAAAGTGATTCATGGTGGAAATTTTGCACAAGGATCACAAGAATGTTTCCCCATTCAATTGATATAACAGTTTTCAGATGTGATACACAGTACACATCTACCACACTTGTTTCATAGACAGTTAATTGGCACAGGTATACTGCCAGCCTGCTCATGATGTTGATCTCAGATTGATCTGGTCTTGACCATTGCAGTCAGAGGACATACTGTAATGAAAAGTTCAAGAAATAGATTCCAATATCAAATAAAATTAGAAACACCAAACCCACCCTGAAAGGTAATATTAACCGCCCCCCTCCACACTTAATTATGCTTCCACAATAAGGATAAAGTCCTTCGATTTTCCATTATTAAATGAAGAATCAGTAAAAATGTTTTTTTTTAAATTCAGTTTTATTTTATCATAACTCTTTTGAATGGAGTTGCTCACATATACAAAATTCTCAGGCACAGTTACAGGATAATAGATATTAGGGTGTTTTGGTGTTTGAATTAATTTCTAAATTTTATTGGCCTCTTATGTTCTTGGTACACTCTTGGAATGCATTTGGAATGTAAGGTGCAAGAACATGTACTTAAAAAACCCTCATAAAACAAAAAGGTATTGTGTTAAGGCATTTGATATTTTTAACTTGTATATTTAGTCACCCAAATCTTTTTTTTTCTCATTAGTTCTTCAGTTTGTTCCAAGCTACATTGATGTGAGGTTCTGTAACTTCAGTGAACGGATTGAGAAAGGGCTCATAATGGCTTTCTCTGAAGTACGAAGGAGATACCAGGAATCGCCTGACTTCATTGTGCACGTAAGAGCTTTATGCCTCCTATTTACAGTCTAGCAGTCTAGCAGTTAAAATGCAGAAGTAAAGATTAAATGTAAAAGACCGAATATCTTACTAACCTATGGCTTATGAATGCTAGAGTAATATTAATATAATCACTCTAATGATTAAGAATTTATTTCTTTATGTACAGTAGATGGATATGGTGGTCTTCCCCTCTGATCTTTTGTGATGCTTTTGCAGCTTGTATTGAATCAGGGATCTTGCTAGAACCTGTTCAATAAATTGTTTAATAAACACTTTATAATAATAAATAGCAATTTAAGATAATTGTTTTGACAAGATTGTAGACAAGACATGAGCTGTGTTACGCAGTGCATTAATATATAAACAGTTACAGATTGATTAAAAACCTGTTTTTGCATTTTTTTGCTTTGTAGATCATAAACATTACCATGAATTTGCCTAAAGCTCAGAAACAGCTGCAGAGGGTGCCAGTGGATATTATCTTTGCTATTAGAGACTCCACTGGGTATCTGAATGGCTCTGAAGTGAGCAGCCTCTTGAGAAATTTAAACATGGTGGAGTTCAGCTTCTATCTGGGCTTTCCTGTGCTACAGATTGCGGAACGTAAGTGAAGCTTTTCACTTTGTCAAGAATTTTGTGTATTGTTAAACGAGGTAATTTATTTCAAGACATATACTGTATCCCTCTGGAACTTGGATTATCTCAACTTGTTTATTTGTTACACAGTTCCAGAGACCCAGGGACAAACACATTTTAATCTTATTCACACTCACATGGCTAAGTGACTGTATGCAAAGATTTGTGACCAGGGGTATTACAGGCAGGGGGAAATTTGGGGATAGAAACTCATGTGTTCTATTGAATTGTTATTGCTGAAATTTTTTGAGGCCTGACTAACTGCAGCTGAACAATATTTTGAAATATGGTGAAGTTGTTAATGATATGCATTTCAGTGGAAGCAATAATATTCAAATCACTGGAGTCTTTTTTGGTATATTTTTACAGCTTTTCACTATCCAGAATTGAATGTAACCCAGTTGTTACGATCTTCTTGGGTTAAAACAGGTAAGCTGCCCTAATGCATTTTTGTAAGGTTTTGTGTTAGATGTTTAATTAAAAATGGAACATTGTAAAAATACAGAACATAGCTTTCGAGGTAAACTTTCAAATATTAAATGCCTTTGGTACTAGAATACCTACAGTAGTACTTTAAATTCCCACTCTTTTTAAAGCTCTTGTGACATATACTGTAAGGCAATAATAGCATTTATTGTTTCTATCATATTAACAGTGAGTTACAGTATTATTAAATTTTATATTCCCAGGACACTTAATCTTAGTGGTTATTTATCCAGTTACATTATTAAGGTGTCATGGTTAAGTTTATATGTTTTTAATGTGGGTATCGGGACATTAATAAGAGTTTTACTGTGGCAAGCTGCAATTATGACATGTTTGCTTTATGTTTCAGTTCTGTTGGGAGTAATGGAGCAGAGGGTGAATGAGAGGACATTCCAAGCCAAGATGGAGCGCAGATTAGCCCAATTGCTGGGAGAAGTGCTTGGCTCTGCTCGTCGTTGGAAAAGAGCCACTAATGTGGGGAATAACAGTGTTCAGGTAAATTGCACACACTGTCCAAACCACTTTGTTGTCTTTGAAACCAGTTATTTGTAATGTAAAGTGTGATAGGATTTACTGTAGGTGGGGAATCAGGGAACAGAATGATAAAAAAAATAAAAAGGTGAGCATAACAGGAAGACTAATCTTGAAGGAAAGCTTGCTGGACCAGAAAGCATTTTTAACAACCACACTAAGTAAAGCAAACAGCAAAACATACAGTACTGGTAGAGGAATCACATACAATATACTGTTTTAAGTGTTTCCATCTGTTTTCAAACTGCTTCATTCCATTTAGGGTAGTGGGGGAGACATAGGCTATTACCGGCAAACAATATTTGCAAGGCAAAATACACCCTGGAAAGCACGCTAGTCTATCACACAGGGCACAGACACAAACATGACCTCACAAGAAGGTGAATTTTCCAATAAGCCAAGTTACCTACCAGTATGTCTTTGAACTGTGGGAAGAAACCAGAGTACCTGGCAAAAACGCATGCTAACAAACAGGGAGAATATACAGACTCCACCCAGATAACACTCTAGGTCCAGAAGTGAATCCCACGCCCCAATGCTGTAAGGCAGCAGTGCTAACCACTGCACCACCATACCACCCTTAAATGCTTCCAAGAAACTTTTTAAAATAAATTTTAAGAAGACTTTGTATGCTGGTTGCCAAATCTCTCAAATGTTTCAGAATAGTGATTGAAGGATTAACCAGCCTATTCAGCATAGGTTTTAAGGTGAAAGAGGTTTGTGAACTTATGAAAAACATAAAACATGTGACAACACTTTATGTAGTTCAAATTAGATTTAGTTAAATATTATCCTTATAACCCACTTATGTATACACTTAATTTACACTTTTCCAAAATGATGTTTTCTGTTTAGGTCAGATCTGAATTAATACTTAAAATTCATGACATATAAATCACAATCTTTGATTTCAGAGTCTTATTGTCTTGCTAATAAAGCTCTCTCTTAATGTCTTTCTTTCACACCTGCTCTTTTTCTGAGATAATCCAGGACCAAGAGCTGGTATCCATGACAACATGGCCTATTCATGTAGATGTCTGAAACCAAGTCTAATTTTAATCAGCCTGAAACAAATTCTACTGCTAATAACAGATCAATTATTTATAGCATTTCACTGGCAGCAGAAGGCATTTCAATTGTATTATATATTTTCACATCCTAGAGGCTGGCAGAGTGTAATGATTTTCTTTAATGTAGATAACTGTCACAATGACTCATATCCGCATGTTTTACCTTTAATTTTGGATCAAGTGACTTCTTTAACTTTCTTTTTTTTTAATTAAAAAATGTTGCTCCTATTAGCATTATCCTCTAGGAATTGTTAAGTGTTTTTACCTCTCAAATATTAAAGTGGCCAGGATTAAACACCATGTAGCCAATCAACTCAAAACATAACATTGAGCTGGAGAAAACATTTTGGTCCATATATAGTACCATAAATTGCAGCTGTTCAAAACATGTTTTTCATATACCTCCAAACCTAGCAGGATAATTATAGTTGTAATATGGTGTACATTTAAGCCAGGTTTTGCTGGCATATCCCTTGTCGTAATAGGACTTAAATCTTCAAAACTTGTGACCTACTACAAACTATAAGCATTGAAACTCAGGTTGCAGTGTAAACATCAGACTACAGCTGCTAATAAACTGTTGAGCCAATTAAATCTAAATTTGATATACAGATCCAACTGTTCAAAAATGCGCGGAATGCAGGCGTTTACCGCATTTTAATTGAAATATGATAATAGTATCTGGAAGCACCTTGTGAAACTGCCAGGTGGAGCTAATAAAGCTTAACATCTCATGTACAGCATTTGAGCTGTCGCCAGAAAACGCCCGGTTTCAAATCCCGGTCACTGCAGATGGACCATCTTTTTCCAGTTAAGAATTTAAGTTGTAAACTCTTTAGACTGTTTATAATGTTAAACTGTGTATTACAGCATCTTAATCATTAAACATTAAAAAGTCGGTATATTTTATAAATGCAAGATTACTAAGTTGGACAAAAGTTACAAGACCTTCCACCTTCATCATAAATAATTAATTATTCATAAATATTTTATGCATCAAAGTCTTTAACTTGGTAACTTAGTGGGTTCTGTTTGTAACGTGCTTGTTCTAACATTATTAATCTTATATTGTGAACTTCATAAAAAGTTATAATGTTTTATCAGTTTCTGAGAATACATAGTAAGAACACCACTTACTGTTATTGTAAAAAGAGAAATGTTGTAGTGATTAAACATCACTTGATAATTATATGAATATGGAATCGTGTAACTTAGCATCTTAAGTATCACAGTTAGACATTTCGGAAACATTTTGACATCTGTTTCTTTTTAAAAAACTTTTATAGTCCTTGTCGTGGTAGTGGGCAAAGTACTGCACCTGAGGTTCAAAGTGCAATCAGAGTATTACTTTTTGGTTTGTTTCTTATACAGTATAGTGAATACATAAAAATAGTCCTCTATTATAGCTTGTTGTTGGCTCTGGCGTGAATTTGTGTATCTGGATAAATTAAGTGATGGTATTGTGATTAAGGAGTTCTTCGTGAAATTCTTTAAGTTAAACAAAGGAGGGAAGAAGGGTTATTTTTATAATTGGCACTCCGAGATTATGACTGATAAAATTCCCCTCATTTAACGGATAAGGAAATCATGCAGTAGTTATATGTATTGGAAGGTGCTCTGTTTTATTCAGACAGGTTCCTTTTGTCCAAGACTGCCAGGAAACAGTCGAAACTTGCCACACCCAGACTGTTAACTTGATCAACCTTTTACAATAGCCTTCCAAATGCGTTCACACTGTAGGATATACACTCAACGCGCCACAGGTGTCACATTTACTGTACATGTCAAACCAGTTGCTTTCCATTGCGATTTGTTTTCTCCATAGCCTCCACTTTATCATTTATATAGTATGCCTATTCCAGAGACATTTTAATTGTCGATAACTATGCGGGGAGAGCATGTAGATTCCAAAACACTCAATGGCAGCAGAAGTGAGCAATTACCTGCTGAAAAATGAATGTGTTCCCAAAAGCATATACTGTACAATTTTCACAACATTTGCAAACATTCCCGATACATAACCACATTATGTACGGATGCAGCCTACCCACAAGCCACCGCAGGGCACCGCGGTAAGTGATTGGCTGGCCAAAATGATCGACAGGGGCACTCGTGGTGCATTGGTTGGTAGTTGGTAGTTTTAAGCATGAAAGTTTTATGAAACGGTACCCAAATATGCGATTGCAATGAATTTTAATTTCAAAAAAAATATTTAACACGAAAATTAAGCTGTTTACATCTTCCGCCTGAGAACAGTCACCCGTTGCTACCCAATGCAGAAACACAGCCACTAACTAGCAAAGAGAGGACATTAGCTAGCCAATATGATCAAGAAATAAATACTTATTTTGTTTATTTCTTTTGCACATTTCCATTGATTGTACAAGCACTTGAAAACTGTCCAATCCCCAGTTCATTGGGCATTTTCTTTTACGCTGCAGGCATTCTCCCGGTCTGGCGCCGGTCTGTGTCTCTAGGATATAATGCCAGCGAACT